GGGGGGGTCTTCCGAAACACAGAAAAATAATCGATGAATTTGCAAATCCACAGGTACCGAACTGGTTTGACTGTGAATTTAAGTTCTAATATCACCATTCGCCACTAGATGGGAGACATGTCTGAGTTGAACTGATAGGAAGGAAGTACGTGGTCCTACGTGGGCCTCCCCCAGTAGCAGTGATGAAAAATCGTGGCCCTCTTCAGCATTCAAATTGCCCATCATAGTTCTGTCTTGGTTCTTGCCGTTTCACTGCATTTCTCCATAATCGTGTCTTTTATTTAGTTTTAAACTCCAGTTTAATTTGTAATATCCAGAAAATATCACAGGTGTAATTGTATTAATGTATATGTATATTTGTAGACATACGGTACCTTTAATAAGGTTCTCTTGCAGGGGTTCTGGTGCTTCTGATCTGCTGATGCCATGCATGTCCTGATTAGTGTATGAACGTGTGATTGTTTACCGCCATGTTTATGTTTCCAAGAGATGCAGAGAGAACATCAGAGGAGGGAACATCGACTACAAGAGGCTCACTGTTGCGCACTGAGCACTATGGAGGAGGCTCGGCAGCACCAGATCCGGGTACAATACATATGCACACTACAAAAGGGGCAAAGAGCATGTCTGAGGTCTAAAGTAGTGCAGTTGTTTTTAATCACCGCAGTCATTTAAACTTTGTGAAATGGCAAACCTTAGGATAAATAGGCACTTGCCCCCCTCGCATCTTTTTAAAGCATGTGGATCCTGGATATAATGATCAGTATTTGGTTTAGTTGATTTAGCCATAAAAGCTTGGCAATTTGCATATGATATCTGCTGGAATCCACCCAAAATGGCCACTTCAAACCAAAATGTGAGAATTCTTCTTCAATTTTGGGCATGGGTCCTTTGGACATTTTCATGAGTCTGGTTAAGATTGACACACCACCCAATTCCGTGCCAGTCGGTGAAACAAGTGTTAGGGGCTGATGTTTTCAAACTTTCCATTTGGTGCAAATGAGTTTTGGTGGCATTGTATTTGGAATCCCAACATGCATTTTTGTTTGCATCTCTATACACACAGTTGCAAAAATCAGCGGTACGTTTTTGGACAAATTTTGGTTCCCAAAATCAGAATCATCTTCATCTTTCAGATAAAAAGTGATTAATTCGTCAGCAGTATAAGAATAAACAAAGCATCTGGATAAAGGTGTTGATATAGGAATTGCTTTTGACCAAACTGAAACATACAAGCGCTGAAGCACAACATTATCTCAAGTCATTTCCTCCTCAGAGGAAATTATTGTGTTGAGCAGTTGCTTTTGCCAAGGCTGAACCAAGTTGATCAATTTATACTACAAAAATGTATTTCTTTGTTGAAAGCCAGAGAATCAATTACGAGCCTGTGAGGAAATGACCAACTCTGCAGAGAATGGACAGACTAAGTCAAGTGTTTTTCCGCTTTAATTTTCCTCATTTCTCTGCTAAATGCTTCCAAAAAATTGAAGGAGCCCACTGGCTCATTGTTGGCATCATGACTAATGTGCTACGATAATACAATCCTGGCAGAAACATTTCATGCACAATGAATAATTAATGAGATATTCATTACCCCGTTGAACAAAATGATTTTGAGGGGACGAAAATGATTATTTTGGTTCCTGAGGGCTGAGATAGATGGAAATGGATGTTGTAAAAAATAAAAAAATCGTTGTACTTTGGATTACATTTTCTTACCGTTATGCGCTGCCATTATTTTCCATTTTGTGCTATAAAACAGGAATTTCTGTATTGCTGGACGAATAAAGGCTTATTTTATCTTAGTCTAGCCTCGCCGACTATATTCTTGATCATCTTGTCTATAAGGTTTCTGATGTCATTGGAATGTTTTTCAGTTGCTTTCCACTTTCTTCCTCCTCTCGCTCCTTGTCATTGCCAGGCCCTGGAGGAGCGTCTGAAGCAGGAGCAGAGGGAGGAGGTTCATGCTCTAAAGGAGGCCCACAGGAGGACCTTGGACATCCTCAGACAGCAGTCAGACCAGGAGCTGCAGACGCTGCGATTTGAACTGGAAGACGAGGGCAAAGCCAAACTGGGTAATTGCTACATGTTAACACAGTTTGCGATTTCCCGTCTGCAATGGGTGGACATGGATGGTGATTCCATATGAAATCTGATCCATGCGGCAACATGTTCAGAAGCTCAGTGTTTCCGATGTTCCCTTCTAGATCACGAGCCGGATCCTGCCAGTGTGGATTGTTGAGTGGAATGTATTTCTATATTGTGGAAAACTGCAGTGACTAGAAATCATTTTTATGGGTTTTCACAGTGTGCTGTATAAATATGCTGCTGGATCTGGAGCATACTGTATCCCCTGCTATGGGTTCACTGTATTTGTCAAATCTCATCAACGTGTGACATTGCGCTTCCCTCTTTCAAATAGAAACTTCTGATCTTTCTGGTCGATTCTGATCATAGTGATTCACTTATTGTTTTAAAAGGCGACTAAGGTTTTCTCTTGATGACCACTCTTTGCGGCAGCATCACTCCGTGCTGAGCTAAACCACCTCCACGCGACTGCCATCGAGCATCTAAAGCAGATCCACCTGAAAGAAAATTCGACTGCCAAACGGGAACTGGAGAAGGCCATGGAGCATAGCCGCCAACAAGTAACTTGAAACTCGTGTTTGCTCATTTTTAGGTAGTTTGCAACTTCTGGGAAGTTCAACACGATTTTCCCGCCCTCCGTGTTGTGCAGGAGCAAGAGCTGCTGGTTCGTATCTCAGACTTGCAGGCGGATGTGTGTTCCCGAAACAACCGCATCACAGATCTGGACCACGAGATCCATTCTTTGAATGAGACCATTGACACCTTGACTCGTGAGCTAGAGTTGAAAGGCAAAGAGTTGCTTCGGGTCCGCAGTGAAGCTAATCATCAGATAAGGTAGCGCATGCTAACTCCTCCAAAAGGCTTCTTTTATCATCTATGAACTGAACAAGTACATAAGATTACTTTGAAGGCCAAAATCAAATTTTTTGACTTCATCTGCTTGGGGCTTTTTTTGAGGTGAGGCATATTAAGCGCGTTTCCATTCGTTTCAATGGGGAAAGTTGTTTTGGTTTGTGAGAATGGTAACCGATCGAAATGAAATTATATCTCAAGGCTTCACGGTATTTGTATATCTCTGTATTAGTATCAAAGTGCTTTCCTGCCTGGACCCTGAGTCTGCCAATAAAGCTGATTGATTGATTGATTGATTGATTGACTGAGCTGTAAGCAGTGTGAGGATCTGTTTTGATGGAGTTCACTTAAATGTTCCATGCGTTTTGGGTTTTGCAGGGCTCATGAGCAAGACTTTGCAAAGAGGCAAGAGAGGGAACTGGGAGAGCTCAGTGTGGTCCATCACAGAGAGACTCATATCATGTTGGCAGACTTCAACAAAGCTCAGGAGGTTCTCAAAGACAAGATTACTGCATTGCAAATAATGTAAGAACCAGAAAGAACACCTCTGCACGTTTCCCCCTTCCTCCCATCATGCTTGCCTCTTGTTTTTTCTCTTTCCTCATTGGTTAAATGTCTCCTTATCCAGTCTGGAGGGGACAGAAGAGAAGTTGAGGAACCGAGAGAGCCGACCCGAAGATCTGCATCTTATCGCAGAGCTCCGTGAGATGGTCACAGAGAGAGAGGCTTTGGTCAAAAAGCTGGTGGTGAGTTAGTTGAATTCTGTTGTGTCCTAATGTTTGTTTTGTGCAAGACACTTTATGTTTCTGGTGTTATATATACTGTATAAAGATATATATTTTAAACAGGATGACAAAAAGTTTTATCAGTTGGAGCTGGTCAACAGAGAGACGGGCTTCAGCAAGGTCTTCAACTCCAGTGCCAATGTTGGGGTCATCAACCCTCTTATCAAGGTCAGTGGGTGTGTCGGACATCATCAGTCTGTGCTAGATGACAAAGTGAGAGATTGTCTGTTCTGCAGTGTATCTGAATGTTTGCGCATGTTTGCAGATGTTGCATGCGTTACAAAACTAATGTGTTGTTTTGTAACCTTGACTGTACAAAGGACCATATTTGGTAGCGTAAGTCGATTGATCCCGTATGTCTTAGACCCACAGACAAGTAGCAAAGAAATCAACGTGTTGTGTGGTCAGTCACATTTGCAATATTATTATCGTTAAATGCTGGCCTTTAAGATACTGTAGTAATTGTTTTGGATTACAGTAATTTCCCACTATTTGTGTGGAATAGGATTAGCACGAGTAATCGATCCCCCCTCCGCCTCCCCCGAAACAAAAAAGTTTATTACCTATGTTAATAATTTAAACTGCAAATATACCACAAAATAATAAAAAATAAAAGTTATCATCAATTATCATTTCAAGCTCGTCTTAATATTAACCTTCAAAATAAATGTCTCACAGATTGTTTGATTTTGAAAATGCACCCGAAAAGACTCCACAACTTCCATCACAACCTGGGCTAAGCTTGGCTCCTTCCTGACGTATGAAACTTCTGTTTCATACATAGCAAGTGTCATCATCAAAAACAAGACTGATGTTTTATTCCTAACCAGCATATTTTTATTGTTATAAAGCACTGTAACATTATACAGTTTGAACATTAACTTTGCTCTTAAATATATTGTCAGAAGAAAAAAACAAAATGAAATCATGATTCACCGTAAAGGGTATTTAAGAATTCTACCAAAGGAAATATTTAAAAACAAATTGTTCTTTAAGAATATTTGCAAATATTTTAGACTTTAAAAAACCGAACTGAACTTAGGCAGTGATTGTATTGACCTACCACGAGGAGGGAGCCTGCGTACCACTAGTCGTAGAGAATCATCCTAGGGTTACTTTTCAGTTGAACTGTCTTCAAGTCCTTAAAAAATGCTCCCTTTTATCGATTTTGTACTACAGGCAGTGTAGAGAAAGAGCGGCATGCTTCATTGGAAAGCCACCTCCATACAAAATTGCTGTCTTGCTTACCATGCAGTATCCCCCCGCACCCCGACACACCTCTCTGTTTGTGTGTAGCCGAAACCAGGCAGCCAATCAGATCAACGCTTGGCCAGCTTTCCTAGCCAGTCAGCTCTCCGATTCGTCAGCCCTCCCGCCGTGAGTCGTGCGAGTGAGGAAGCGGAGGGTCGGGAAGTGGAGGAGGTAGGACCGGGCCCATTTGCGCCTCCCCACTCCCCCCTCCAACGCGCCCTCCCCCGGCTTAAGAAACCTCCGCCCATCCTCCGTCCTCTCCCTCACATCCCTCAGCATCCGCCACCTTTTCCTTCTCATCCCCCGCCAAGTCATGCGCTTGCCCATTCTCCTCATCCTCAGGAGCCGCAGCATCAGGCAAGTTGTAGGAGGTGAGAACTCATGTAACTTGCTGCCTCAGCTGCCTTGCGATGATGCGGCGGCCGCGTTTTGGTGCCCCCGCTCCTGGTCACCAGCCACCTTCCATTTTAGTTTTCTTTTCAACCACCCTCACCCCTTTCATCCATCACTGTGTTACCGTCATCCCCAACCCTTAAACGAGGCCCCCTATGCGGACTCACCTCATTCTTGTCACGTAATTCTTCATTGGGAGGAATCAAAGTTGAAATAAGACAAAAAGGAACTCGCCCTTCTAACAATGGATTTGAAGAGAAATTGTTATCATTTGAGAAAAATCATGACGTTATAGCAACCATTTTTGGAGTCATTATGCTTTTACTTTCTAATTCTGTCCATCAGATGACCATTACAGCTTTTGAGGAACAGGCTTCAAATCCCACTCTCATTTTAGTTGCTAAGAAAAGGAGGCCAAGCTTACAAATCAATTCCAGTAAAAATTCAAATTGAAAGCAACAATAGTGCACAGGCTGCAAATGTCAGACTCAAGATAACGTCTGTAATATGTTTCTCTCAGAGTGGACCTGTGAGCATCCATTATGGAAACTGTGAAGGACAAACTAAAATCTGACTCATCAGGACAAAAATAAATATGAGTAATATTCAGCTACAAAAAACATATAAGCATAAAGAACGTTAAATCTGATAAACTGGCTATAAATTGCACTATTTTGCATCAGTAGGATACCCAGTTGTGTTCATAAATTTACACACCCTGGCAACATTTGTGAAACACTGACGATCATGGAGAAAATGTTTCTTTTATTTAGGATTCCGGGGTCAAGTGAAGCCATATGTTATGTAATTTTGCGTGCCATTTTAAAATTGCAATGACAACTGAGGTCACCCAAATGGTCCTGATCAGACGTTTAGCAACCCTTGAATGTTTGTTCTCCGCACACAGGTTTAAATGGCCTATTAAAGATGCAGTATATGCTTCCATGACTTTTTGATTGTAATTTGGGTTTGTGTATCAAGAGGGTGGCCCGGTTGTCCAGTGGTTAGCGCGTCAACCTCACAGTGCAGAGGTACCGGATTCAATTCCAGCTGCAGCCTCCCTGTGTGGAGTTTGCATGTTCTCCCCGGGCCTGTGTAGGTTTTCTCCGGGTACTCCGGTTTCCTCCCACATTCCAAAAACATGCATGGCAGGCTGATTGAACACTCTAAATTGTCCCTAGGTGTGAGTGTGAGCATGGATCGTTGTTCGTCTCCATGTGCCCTGCGATATGCTGGCAACCGGTTCAGGGTGTCCCCCGCCTACTGCCCGAAGACAGCTGGGATAGGCTCCAGCACCCCCCGCGACCCTTGTGAGGATAAGTGGATCGGAAAATGGATGGCTGGATGGATGTGTATAAAGAGTCAAAACATTTTCTGAACTCTTGAGAAAGCTCTGCACATTTCTCTCAGGACCCTACGAAAAAAAAAGTGAAATTGAATCAAAGTAAATGCCTTTTTTCTAATTAATGCCATACAATTTAGATTCAGAAAATGCTAAGTTTACACTGAATTGTACATTTGTGTTTGAAATAGCCCCACGGAAAATGTTTCTAGACAAGAAAATAGGAAAATAATTTGCTGCTATGCACATGTGAATTAAAAAAAAAGGGAACTGTTGATGCTGCCGGTGCTCAACCTGAATTGTTTTGTGTTTTTTGTGATTGTAAAGTGTCCTTGGGTGTCTTGAAAGGCGCTTATAAATAAAATGTATTATTCTTATTATTCTTATTATTATTATTTAAAAAAACAAAAAGACACCAACTGGTAGTTCGTTATTAAGTAAAATTTCATCCTTAGTAGTCAGAATTGCTCATTGACCAAGCAAAAATATATTTTTTCCAAATAGCTGGACATTCCGTAGAATTTTCAGTAGGATACTCAAATGCTAAAATATTCAATAGCTGCATCACCACAACTCCCCTGTTATATTGTCATAATTTTATTGTTTAATTAAACCCTTGCTTCAGGTCCCGACAAAAAAAAAAAAAAAATGTTCCTCACAATTACAAAGTGCGCACACACACACACACACACACACACACACACACACACACACACAGTTACAAATTTTGCCAGGGTACGTTCACTCAAGAGCACAACTGCACGTGTGGACCTATGAGTCTGTTTATAAATGTGCTTTGGTGGTGTGTCTTTATGGCATGTTTGTGTTGTTCGGTGATCCTGGAGGTAGACTTCCACAGTGTGTGTGTGTGTGTGTGTGTGTGCGTGCGTGCGCGTATGTTTTCATAAAAGAATGCGGTCACATATCAGCTTGGTGCATGCTCTGCATGTAACGCAGTGCTCTGATACGACAACGCTGCCAACGCTACGGCTGATCTGAAGATGTGCGCTCGTGTCTATGTTTGGCAATATTTATCAAACCGACACTGTGTCACCCCTCCCAGTCATTTTAATGGATGTTTTTATTCCCTCCTGTAGCCTTCATGAGGCAAATGCAGCGGCGTCAGACCACAAAGCAATGGAGACAGGGAAAAGCAAAGATTACACTGCAAAAAAAGAGGCACTGTATGCTCACCACTTCTCTTTCTGATGGCCAAATGCAATTCTGTTAAACGGAGATGCAATGGGACATGACTAAATTTGGACAACGATTCAATTGAAGATTTTGCCAGAGTAGCAGAACTGTAATGTAACTTCCAGTCAAGCCTCACAAAAGTTCACGGGACCGGATAAGCTCGACAAGAATATTACTTTCTCCTCATTCTGTTATTAGAGACTGGTTCAGATCCGTTCGGATCAGAAAATACGATCTGTTGGACGCGACGAAATCTGAGGTGTTAAGCAGGAATCTTTTCAGTGCCGCTCTGCCCAATTTTAGTTTGCTGTCTCATTGCATTGACTGCACATTTAGTGCAACCTCTGAGCTCACTGTGAGGCACCTCAGCAATGGGGGGGGAATCATTAACAAAGTGGCATTTTTTTTTTATTTTATATTTTTTACAATTATAATATTTATAGTGTAACAAACTGTTTTTCTATGGTCTGCCAACGGGCCAGAGACATCTAGAGAAGAAGTTCTATCGCTGATAATGTGGATTGCTGTTGACCTTTTATGAAGCGTTTCAGGCTTTAATCGATCAGGTTCCACAGAAGGCACATTGAACTTGTTTGCTATGTGTCTCATGTCTGCACTCCAGGCCATAGAGCATGCGAAAACAGAAACACTCTTATAATGCTGCTGTTGCTCACTTGAAATGTCTTTTTTTTTTTCTTGGTGTATCATCCACTTAAAAAAAAAAAACAACACTTGAAGGTTTGCACTGTTCTTGTGCGTCTTTTCGTGTGCAAGTCCATGACGTCCATAACGGTATCCTGCACAGTTTCCAACGGCATGATCATCATGTACCCGGACGAATCGTTTTATTGTTATTACGGGAAGAGAAGTGAGTCATCGAGAAAGCAGGAAAAGAAAATGACTCCATTTATAATTGGCATCGTTCCATGTGCAAAAGATCACACAGTGGCATATGAACTGAGTGATGTGAATTTTGAGTGCAATCTGGTGGTGAACTTTCAGATTGCAGGAAGAGGATTCACCATCACTGCCGCGCTCCCTCCCAATATCATCAGATCACGTTTTACGTTAAACTTGTTTTGCCTGCACCAGCAACTATCACCTCATCTCCTGTTTCTTCCACACTCGGTTACTCATTGTACCTTGAAGGGTACAATGGCTTGAAACGTGAATCTGCCTGTAACTTTTTGTTCCTATAAAGAGCACCCGAGCGTCCAATAATTAGCCATATCCAGTCTGGGGTGTGGTCATTTTGGTTGCACCTTGAGGGAGAGAAATGGACATTCCCTTTTTCTGACCCCGTACAGCTTCCATCTGGCACTTTTGGGGTTTCCCCTTTCTGTAGCAAAGTAGCAACAAGGCTGAGAGAGATCTGAAAGGTTTCCTCATAAGCTTAAAAAAAAAAAATGGATATGAGAATGTATCTGTTGTGATGGTCCTGGTGTCATTTTGGACATTGAACCAGTCATCCTGAGCATGTTACTTTGCATCGTCATGCTTATCCAATACATTATTTTCGTCTGAACTTTCGGTGCAATCAAGAAAAAAACAACTAATACAGAAGATTGTATTGTATCCTACACCCCAACACTGAACTACAATTGGTTGGTTCCACTTTGCACACTGTGATGACAGCAACTGAGCTGTGACGACATTTCTCATTTGGTTCCTGTGGGATGACTTCTTTGCATCGAATTGCACAGAATTTTTTATTTTCCTTTTCCGCATGGATGGAAAGTTAACCGTTTGTCTTCTGATCATTGTTGACTTTGTTCAAGACCAAGAAGCACATGAAACATTTTTGTACATAAATGTAATCTTCTGTTGTGATGTTCAGATGTTCACAAAACCTCGAAACATACACTGACGTCGAATGTTTTCAGATGTTCACAAAACCTCGAAACATACACTGACTTTACGAGTTAGGAAAGATCAAGTTTCACTGTTACACTTCGGATTTTGTCTTTGGTTTTCAAAATCTTTACTTACCCCAATTTCATTTTCTGCGCTAGCTGACATCCATCGTCTTCCGGCTGAAGGTACTGTCATTGTGATCTAACGTTTCTTCCAACAAGCTAAAGCAGTGACACTTGAAGCGAACATTCCTTCACTTGCCGTTGAATATATACAGTACGCTGTATTTAAACTGTGGGAGCATCCGACGCTGAGTCCCGTGAAAGTCTTTTGAAAATGGAACAGCTGAGGTGCGACTCAAGGAAAATGATCCAACACTGCCACTGGTTGGCCGCCCTTGAACCATTAAGAGCGACTCCTTTGGATAATTGGCGTCTTTTATTTGTGTGGTGTTATATAAAGTGCAGTCCAAGGCTTGCTTCCATTCACTTTCAACTCCTTGTTGTCAAAATGCAAAAATGTTGTAATTCTGGTCATTGTCACTACACAACCCGACATTGGTGCTGATACATCTGCCCAAGTTTGCATTTTGAGCTGAGTTGAAAATGGATCATCCTTGTGACTTATATACGTTTGTTTGTCTCGATGTAAATGTACAACGATTATAACAATGTTTATATTTATATCATTTCTGTTGTATGTTATCAAACAGTAAAACAATGATTGTGACCTTTGGTGTCTTGTTTGGTGTGTTAGATCATTTTGAGGCAAGGAAGAAAATAACCCAAACGCAATTGTGCTGATGTGGTTTCTTTGCTAGGCTAAAGATCAACAGTCAGAACAATTAGGAGAACGTAACAAACAGCAATATACGTTTCTGGCCTGGTAAGTTCTATTGCTTTGCTTGTTATTTCATGTGACTTGAAAGTCACTAGCCTGTTGCTACATAAGCAAAATGGTGTGCCTCCAACAGCGTAAAACAACTTCGAGGTAAGTCAACCGTAGTCATGAAATGATGAAACGTTTTTGCTGTAGATTAATTTATAAACCAGAATTGCCATGCATTTAGGGAATTAATGTTATGCAAATCATGTCCGCCTCACAGCACAAAGGTTTGATTCCGGCTCCAGCCTTCCTGTGTGGAGTTGTATGTCCTCCCCATGCCTGCGTGGTTTTTCTCCGGGTACTCCGGTTTACTCCCACATTCCAAAAACATGCATGGCAGGTTGATAGAACATTCTAAATTGTCCCTAGGTGTGAGTGTGAGCGCAGATGGTTGTTCGTCTCTGAGTGCCCTGCGATTGGCTGGCAAACGGTTCAGGGTGTCCCCCGCCTACTGCCCGAAGACAGCTGGGATAGGCTCCAGCACCCCTGCGACCCTTGTGAGGATAAAGCGGATTAGAAAATGGATGGAAGGATATTGGGCAAATTGCAGCCCTTAATGATTGTATTTAGCAACATGTGTCTTTGTGTACTGGTTAATGGAGGCCGCCATTTTTAGGTCTTCTCGCTCTTGAGAGCGTGCAAATTTGGGAGAATGTGATGTATGTTTGCCGTGAGTAATGCAATAAATAAAACAATGAACCAACTAAGTAGCTTAATAAGCCGAAATGAATCTACCCTCTGCAGTTCCAACCGAAGCAATGTGATCATCCATTTTTAACGGGCTCACTCAAATATATGGCACCCAACTATTTCCACTCATTTTTGTCTGCAAAACATCCATTCATCCATTTTAAGCACCGCTTATCCTGAAGAGGGTCTCGGCAAGATGCTGGAGCCTATCCCAGGTGACTTCGGGCAGAAGGCAAACTACCCCTGAATTGGTCGCCAGTCAGTTGCAGGGCAAATATAGAGACAGACAACCATAAAAACATCCAGATTCTCGATCTTGAGGCAACAAATGTGCTGCATGCACGGCGGCGCAGAGTGAGGGAAGAGGTGGAATTTTACAACACTTCTCTGACAGTGTAGCGTTCACCCATGCATAACAGATGACGTGGCGGACAGAGCAACTGTGTAACACCGGCAAATCCATTGCTGTCTGCAATCTGTCAGCCGACAGACGACAACGGGCAGCGGGTAAATCTCCTGGTGCTTCGATGTCACTTCTGGTCTGCAGCGGATGATCAACATGGCACCGTCTTACACTGATTATTCTGTTTAATACTTATTCCATGAACACAATGATAATCAGAGTACCATATTTTGACCAGTGGTGTGACACTGTATTTTTGCATTCAAAATGGTGGAGTTGAGTTCCTCTTGAAGTAGCTTACATGCATGTGCTGTACTGTATGTCTCTCGGTGAAAACGGCTTAACTCAAATCTTACCTTTTACTGTAACGACCCGATGCTATAAAGGTCATTTCGATTGTCAGGCATGTGTCAAGACGAGGCCGTGGGAATGTCATCTTAGTCGGCAAATGATGTTCTCAATGATTCCATTGTTGCTATGTGTTTATTTAACAGTGTACATCAAGTGATGATTTCTTCTTTCGTTCTCAGGATGGGAGTGTGACATAAAGCATCCCGTGGAAGTCCTGAGTAGCTGTGAGTTTCACACATTGTTTTTTTTTTCTTACAGTTAATGTGCTACATTGTAGGAAATGTGCAAAACGTCCTATACCGCGGGTGGGTGCTTACTGTAGCTCACTCATTCTTCAGCTTAAATAAATTGCACCCAAGTCTGGGACAGACTTGGAGCAGCAGTAGGGAGACATGCAGTCACACATGGAGTGAATCGGTGAAGTGTGAGGGTGCCTCATGGTCCACAGACGCAGCATCAGCTGCTCAGCAGAACGATGATGTAGATGAGAAGCAGGCAGATGAGGATGAGGGTAAAGTTGACAAAGAGCTCCTGCAGGTTCCTCTTGGCCTGCGGAGTCACCTCGATTTGGGATGCACGGCGGATGGCCGACTTGGTGATGTGCTGGACGCGCTCCATGTTTGGGCTGTTGTGGTCTGCTGTGTGGCTGAAGAGAGGCAACAGCGAGGTTGTGGTGGTGCGCTTAGATGAGGGAATCAGGACATGAAGGTAGCGCAGGATTCCTGCTGAGGAGTTCAGGTCCGGGCTGGTTATGCAGCAGAATGCTTTGAATCTTCTGCAGGTGAAAGAAAACAGGAAGAGTCTAATGTTACCAGCCTGATCCGTGTATTATAGCTAATATATAATTATAACTCAAAAATAAATTGAGCAGAAAACGTAAGGCAAAGGTGCACTAGTACAGATTCAGCAAGGGGTTGAGTTGGGACTTGAAAGCGTAACTCTAACTCTTTGCCCCTGAAAGAATGTTACCTTTTACAAGAGGCAGGTCATTTTTAGAGTCACCACGACCATCTAGGCAAGTACCGGTAACTTCTGCCAGTGAGACAGGTCCACTAGCAAATAGCCGGAAAAAAATCTGTTTTGATTCTGAGTCATCCAGGTTGTGGGCATTTGCAATAGTTGAATTGAAGCAACTAGATTTTTCACTGTACCTGCAGTTTTTCAGACAACCATCATCCAATTTCAAACTCAAAGATCCGTAGCAATTGGGCACTACGTGACGAAATTACCAAGACAACCCATGGCTGGAGGCGCATCGTACGGCACTATGGCCTCGGGCACCTGACGCTCGGGCGCAGGAAGCTTCTTCAAGGAAGATGTCGTTAAATCCATCTTTTTTTCCAGTTAACACAGATGGCTAAAGTAAAGCTTCTATTTTCGCCACAGCACCTAGACACAGTAATCCACGCCTTTGTTACATCTCGGGTGGATTACTGTAATGCACTTTATTTTGGAGTCAGCCAGTCCTCCCTCAAGCGCCTGCAATTGCTCCAAAATGCTGCTGCCTCCACTCAATGTCCCTTGCGATCATGCGACCGCCGCTGCGGCACAGCACATGGCGGTGATGATATGAGAACTGGTCGGAGGCGCCAGCTGAGGTCCGATGAGGCGGCATCCCAGACTAGCAGGAGCGGCAGCATCGGATGTCATGACAACAATGTGAAGTCAAAGTCGCCACGGCTGCTTTTACACATTTCCCCAGCATGGTCACGCGCCATAAAAGTCTTGTCACATGCCGAGCTTGATGGGAGATAAATGTGAGCACATGGGGTGCCGTTTTAAATGTCTTTCATCGCGGCTTTGAATCCCTTTTATGATCCGATGAGGGAATTTCCTCTGAACAATGCCAATGTGACAAGGTGACCATGCTTTTGTATTCGTAGCTGCTGCTAACAGTGACCATCTTGCACTTGCGGGTCACCTCTGCCAAGTTCTTTGCTATTTTTACTGGCTAGTGAGCTTTGAGCCATTTTTATGAACCGCTACTGTATTTCGTTATCACTCTGATATGTTTCTTCCCCTCCTGAACTCTTCAGTTCCCGATTATAACTCGGCAGGTTATCGCCTTGTTCCCCACATGATAACTCTTTCAGTCTGCTCACACTTCCGACCTCTGGCCTGGCTTTTGCATTTTTCAAATCACTGGAAAGTAGTATGCACCAAAGTATTGAGACGCTGTACATTACAACTTCAGGGAGTGAAGAACAGATGTTGATAAGAGTCTATGGGAAATATTTTCATCAAGGATCATATCCGAACCAACTAAGCTAGTAACCGAGAAAATCAAACTTGCAAGGTCGAGAGATTCACAATTTACTTCCTTCTAACACTTTTATCACACTTAAGAAAGTCAGCAAATGCTAACTAAAGCCATTGAGCTGTTAAAAAGACTTAAACATGTGATTAAAAACTGAAGAATCCAATCAGTCCAAGCAACTTCAACAAGCGGAATTGCTTAAATTCAGGTAGAACTTGTACTGCAGTGCTGTACCATAACTCGATCACTGAATGTCGTGTCATTTCAGTCCTTAATTAAGGAAGAGATGTATTTTCCTCTCAGTTCACACAGATTTTTATTTTGACTTTGTCATGTCAACCTAGTCAAATGGAATTTTGCATTTCTACATCATCTCTAACATTTGTCGTATATACATCCTACACTGTCAAAGTCAGACCGTCAGCTGTTCCTTTGTGGAACAATGCGCAAGTAATCCTCTGTTTCTCGCTGCTAATGAGTGAAAATAATTCAGGGTAGCCAGTAAAGCCGAGGAGCTTTCGAGGCCACTGCTAAACTTAGCTCCCGTCTAGTCCAAACGGATTTTAAATCTTCATTTTTCACCAAGTCATCTCTGTGTCACCGCTTGCTGTCAGCACTTTAGTTGGCCTTGATACAGCGGGAGCTATCGTTCATGGAAGAACAACGCACTGCGGGACAAGTCTGGCGGGTTTATTGTTTGATCTCAAGCACACATTTTGCAAAAGAATATTTACATTTTTTGTGTTTGTTTATTTTTGCTGAGGAAGAGGTGACAGCTTCCCATTCAGTCAGTGAACACAAACAGCTATTGTTAGCTCCTCTTCACATGGCATCGCTCCAGCGTGGCCGTGCTGCGTCATGTGGCTGCTTGTGAAAGTACAAAAAGTGTTGCGCCGCTTGAAGTGCGCAATCGATGATGCATGATCACACTCTTTTTCCTCAAAGAACTTGAAAAGAGCATAAAGTGAGCCTCCACATCATAATGTGAAGCCGTGATGATGTCCGCTCTCACTTTTAACAGCTGACGGGTGCCGCTGCTTGGCAGCAACATACCTTATCTTCAGACTCATTCATAGTTTCCATCTAACTGGGTTTCAGCTGCTATGGAAACTCTATCCGCATTGCAGAGACGAGTCAAAGTGATGATGGAGAAGTCATAAAGGAAAACATGTTTCTTCTATTATTAAATGATGAAAACTAAGCCTGTTTTCTAAGCCACACTGATAAAAATGGTGTGTTGAATTTACTCAATTTTATTTCATCAAGAGGTTGGGCGAAATAAAATCATTTGGATCCAGATACATTTTTCAAGTAGTCTATACATCCACTTGTAAAAATGTAACTAAACCCAGACGATTCTGTTGTGCGCAGCCACTTGACAAAATAAAATGGAATAAATTCAGCACACCATTTTTTTTTTCAGTGCAACGAGCCGATGTAAATTAGCAATGAATTTTTGCTCCTGGGAGCTTCGGTCCAAAGCCAGAAGCGCACTCACTCGCCAGAGCATCAAGTCTTTAATTTAGGCTTTACCTTAATATTTGATTTTGATTGACAATGTCAGAGATGTATTCTTTTAATCAGTTGTTCATCACTGTGGTTGAAATTTGCACTGCATCCTACACTGAAAAAAGTTTTTGTTGAATTTACTCTGTGTTATTTCATCCAGTGCTCAAAATAAAGTCCTCGGAGGCATTTAAGGAGACTGTACATGTACTTAAAAATATATCTAGATCCAGATGATTTTATTTCGTGCAACCGCTTGATTAAATAAAATTGATTAAATTCAACATAAAATTCAATAAATTCAACATGTGTAGTTAGAGGTGTTTCTAATATTTTTGCTTACCTTGTTTAGCTATAGTGTGAGTGCTATATTGAACGCCTGTACTTTGATATAATACAGTTCCACACCCATGTAAACAAACAAATTAATAAATACACAGTGAATTCATTTTGACTAACTCAACCAAAGCTGAGCATTATTCAAGTTCTCTAACTGCAAAATTTGGGATACGGCTCTTCTATTGAATCTCATTAGTTTGAGTCAGTCTACCTAATGAAGTAATTGAAAAGTTGAAATGAAGTTGTGTAATTCAAAGTCACTCTCCTAGCCCCAAACTAAAACCTCGCCTTCTACACAACAGGCAACAACAAAAAAGAAAAAAAACACTGACACACATTCGTGGTGACGCTCTTGGTTCTATAAGGATGTTGCTACTTACCTTTCAGATGAGAGCAGGTCTGACTGGTGTTTGAAAGACAAAGAAATGTCAGATATTCAAGGCTGTAAACAGGAGAGTGGGAGGGAGGGTAGGAAGGAGAGCGAGCTGGAGAGAGAGAGAAGAGACAGAGCGATAGACAGAGAGAGAGTTATGGATCTTGGAAGCGTGAGACTTACCAGTCCCCAATAATAAAATGTATGTTGTCAGTTTAACTTTTTGGGGTGGGGGACAAAATTACAAAAGGAGTTTGTGTTTGTGTGTGTTCAAACCTCTGGGCTACATCCTCCACTTGGACAAAATCTAAAAAATAAATTAAAAAACAAAACAGGTAAAAGTAAAAACGAAATCGCCTGCTCTGGTCCAGAAATACTAGAAGAATAACGGAGTGATTTGATATTATTTCACACTGACGTATTTCTGTTTTTTTTAAGAGTCGACTGGACGTGAAATGTTAATCTTCTGTCCTCTGTGAAGGCTGGGAAACTGCAGTCTATGATGAAGATGCATTCAGGAAGACAAACACGAGTAAAGAGTGCGTGCAGTGTGAACTAGAGATAATAGAAATGTTTTCTCAGCAGGCACATGAGACAAGCTGTCAAAGCTTAAGGAGACTTAAGGTAGATTCATTCCTGGATGGAATGTGAAAGTGTGCGAAGAAAGGAACTGTACCAAAAGTGCGACAGTCTTGTCATCATTTATCTGATTACAGCCGGTTATAAACTGGCTGAGAAGTTCACAATTGCTTTGAAGTCAGCGATTTAAAAAAAAAAAAAGTCTCATGGTCCCTTCTTACGCAGGCTTTAGCAAATGCAGCTCACGTGCTGTCTGTGTGTTTGTCTTCTTCAACTGGACACAGACTTTTTATTTCCTGCTGTAAAGAATGAGGGTTTTTTTTTTTTTTTTTTTTTTGCACATCTGGGGTTTTTTTTGTTCCAGGAGCTGCACAGCTTTGTAGCCTTACATGGTGAAAAAATGACTGACCCAAAACTGGAGTGAGAGGATGAGAGAGAGAGAATGAAACAGCTTCTCCTGCATGTCAGCACGTCTTATCTTGCAGCATTGAAAAGGTGATAACAATTGAAGAAAAAAAGGACATACGGAGATGGATAGTGGGATCACAAAAAAGTGGTTCCTTGAGATCCAACTTAGCTTGATGCTAAAGCTAAGTAGCATCTATGTTGTGGTCCTTTAATCTTAATAGACTGAACACAAACGGTGCAGCAAAACGATATGGACAGACAATATAACTGTCGTCACTAGGCTTAATATCACCAATCAGCGAGTTAAAAAAAAATTATATCACTCAGCACCAATGTCATCAAAAGATGGGCCAATCAATTTACAACACTTACTTAGTTACTGTCCAGTCAACTTCCAACACTAATGGGAGATCTAGAAACCCAACAACCCCCAAAAGTCCTACAATGATTTAAAAACATTGGATTTTTTAAAATCTTACTCTGTATACTTAAATACCCTGGATCATTTTTTAAAATACATTTTTCGGATCCGATCAATGATGTCGTTGATAGGCAAATTGATATTACAACAGATCTCCAATTGTGCATAAAATGCTAAATGCCCATCCGATCCAGCGGATCAAATCTGTGCAAAGTCTAGTACTCCGAGTCATACATTCTTTATTCTCTGCATTGAACGAGGATCATTTTTGGTATGAAGAAGTTCAGCGTGCTGTACATGTCAACAACCTTCAATCAGAATATTTATGGGAAGTGTTTTCCGTCCTCCATTTTTTTATTTTCTTGTTTTTCTGGCAAATGAATAGGAAAAAGAGAAGCAGTCTCGAACACATCAGCTTTGTTTACTTTAGAGAACCTACTGCTGCTGTTGGCAGCTTCACACACATTCCGTCTCCTCTTCCGAATCTCCCCATTACCCCCAGAATCCCCCATACCTCTCTCCCCAATCTCCCACATTGCCCTTTCATCACTCCCACTGTGCTCCAGATTTAGACCGCTATGTGGAGTGGCCCTCAGCAAGATTATCCCCACAGGCCTGCCTTAGATAAAAGCAGGATTAATCATATTTATATTCATATTTATGGATTTATGAATCCCAGGACCAATCCTAGTCAGAAACTGTTGAAAACTGCTATTTTGTCAATTTGTCAAATTTTGGTAAGAAGAAAGACGAGTTTTACGGCATTACATTAAGATACATTCTACTCCCTAATTATATCTGTTGCTCGAGTCTATTTTGGTTTGTCAGAGTCTCGTGTCACATGACTCTTTTTCACCAACACAACATGACTTCCTGAAGTGACGTTTGATCATTTGACTAATCACGTAGTCACATGACCGCATTCTCTGCATCACTACCCCACTCGGAAGCAAAGTCTTCAAAGTGATACGTTTACTTGAAACTGGGCAGAAATCTATATTTACCTGACAGGTGGGCTTCAGTGACCGAATAAAGAATAAGCAATTTGTAAAATGGATGATTGGACTTAAAAAAAAAACAAAAAAAAAAAAGGAGCAGCTGAGTCATGTCCTGTCATTTATGTCTGCTTACATATGCTGACAGTTCAGACTACAATAACCTCAAAGGGATTTACTTTTGTGCTTTACTCAAGAATACTAAAGTACAATTTTGGGCGACTCTTTATATATTAAACATACCAAGTGTGTTCACAACCCCATGTGATGAGTTCCATCAAGAAGCATCACATCTTGAATGTAGCCCTCCTACTTCAGTATCATCGTTATTATTATTTTAAAGATTCTCAGCAGGGGTTCATGGGAGTTGCCCCCATTCCGTCTCTCATATAATCACACAAATCCAATGGCTGGCACCCTGGCGAGATACCTGTCTGCACACGCACAATACCCTGGAAGATTTTGAGCCGTGTCATTGTTCCAAAAAAGTATACCAAAACAAGTTATGCACAACAACAGTGACATCAGGAATGTGGTATGTTTCCCTTGCCTGATTTGAGTCATACAGTAAACTTAAGGCAAATACTGTTTGTGGTACAGAATTGAGACCCAAAACACCCACAAGCTTTTAGATGTCGGAAAAGCAAAAAGATCTTTGACCTGATCAGAGTTAATAATTCTGATTGCCATGGTGATGTTGTCATGTGGGGCCAATTGGCTGTGGCGTTTTGTGAGAAAAGACAGTGATTGGACCCTGAGTGTTAGTGTGGTGTCTTTGGTCGGATGTTGGACCCCGCAGTGGAAAAATATCTGTTCTATTTATAAAGGCCCATTTAACAGAACATGGTCATCTGTGTCACACACAGGAACACAAGCAGGCAGGATGTAAGAACTCACTGTGTTTTATGTGATCACTAAACGTCTCCCCTTCCTGAAAAGCCACAAATCCAGTTGAAATATCATCTCACGTCTCCAAAACCAAAAATGCTGTTGCTATTTTCTGATAAAGCTTAGTTAAACAACATTTTGATTCATGCAAGACGGCTAAACTGAATTGACTGATCTTAAAGTCTACACTGGGTTTTATGAGATACATTTACACAATTAAATGACATCCAATCCACGGGCTGTATCACTAAAAACACAATAAAATGCTCCGTTCTGATTGACGCTCTCAGAGAGGGATTCATCCAACAAAACTGTAGTCACAATAAACGGCCTACGGAGACATCTTAACATTGTTTTCTCTCTTCTCGCATTGTATAAAAAAGGTTACCAAAATATCAGAAACAGCTCTGGGATTTGATGGATTACAGTTTGATGCAAATAAATAAAACAGCTAAAAAAACATTCATGGTAGGTTAATTGAGCTCACTAACTTGTCCCTAGTTGTGATTGTGAGCGTAATTGGTTGTATGTCAATGTGTGCCGTGCGATTGGCTGGCAACCAGTCCAGGGTGTCCAGGCGGCTGGGATAATCTCCAGCACACCCGTGACCCCCGTGAAGATATACGATTTGGATCATAATGGTGGTTGACCGATTAATCGGCCGATTGTGTGTGCGTTGATGTGTGTGTGATATGTTACAACACTATGGTTAATACAGTAGCACAGGGGTGTCAAACTCATTTCACATGGTGGGCCACATACGGCCTCGGTAGATGTCAAGTGGGCCGGACCATTAAAATGATACCATACTTTGCTCTAAGTAACCAAAACAATATGTCTTTCCTTTGTTTTGGTATAAAGAAGCACAAGAACATTAGGAAAATGTTGAAATTTAATGAACATATCTTTTACAAAATATTTCATGAACCACCTTACATTTCCTTCGACAAATGTGCAATTTACTTTTATCATTCACATATATGCATTGCAACTGATCCCACTGATTGTACAAACTTTAACAAGTAATTGGTATTGAAAAATACAGGAATGCACTTTAAGATTAAACAAGATTTATGAAGAAAGGAAGTTTTAAACCATTTACACATGCATAAAAAATCTAAAGGTAATCCCTGCCTACACCTTACAAACTAAGGAGAGTGCTATTAAATGTGTAAATGTGAGAGTGCTATTGAAAGCGTCTGCTGTCATGGGTCTGTCTCAGTGACGGACTGAGGCTGCTGTTGTCTTCTTCTCTGATCAAAACAGTGTCCCCTTGCGGATACTCAATGAATTGCACCTTATTAAAAATATTATTTCTGTGTCTTTAATGCATTTTTTTCACTTTTAAATTATCCTGTGGGCCTGATTGAACCTCCTTGCGGGCCGGTTCCGGCCCGCGGGTCGTATGTTTGACAACCCTTCTTTACATAATCATCTCGCGGGCCGGATTAAACTCCTTTGCGGGCCGGATCCGGCCCGCGGGCCGTATGTTTGACACCACTGCAGTAGCATATTAAGGTTAGTTTCAACCTGAATGGTATCCTTACTACCGGTATAAATTATTACTGTTATCCATAAATAAGATGTGAAAAATATTTTACCTCTTTCTTAAGATGTCAAATTATAGTTATTTACTTGCATTAGTGAATAGTAATGAATTATAATTTTGGTTTTATTTTAGGAGCTGAATGTTGCTCTTCTCAGAGAACGGCCCATAAAATTGGAATGTTAATATGAATTTGGGGCAGCCCGGTGGTGGTCCAGTGGTTAGCACGTCGACCTCACAGTTTAGAGGTATCGGGTTCAATTCCAGCTCCGGCCTCCCTGTGTGGAGTTTGCATGTTCTCCCCGGGCCTGCGTGGGTTTTCTCCGGGTACTCCGGTTTCCTCCCACATTCCAAAAACATGAATGGCAGGCTGATTGAACACTCTAAATTGTACCTAGGTGTGAGTGTGAGCATGGATGATTGTTCGTCTGTGTGTGCCCTGGGATTGGCTGGCATCCGGTTCAGGTTGTCCGGTTGTCCCCCGCCTACTGCCCGAAGACAGCTGGGATAGGCACCAGCACCCCCGAGACCCTTGTGAGGATTAAGCGGATCGGAAAATGGATGGATAATATGAATTTCATTCGGCATGGTGTCGAGCGTTTAGCATGTATGTCTCACAGTTTTGAGGTAATCTTTGAATATGTCAGTAGGTGTCACAGCGCTACCCTATGGACAAACAGACCCATTGCATTTTCCAAATTCAATTGCTGAGTTCGTTTGTGGGGTGCCTTCTCTTGCGGAAAATTAAATAATTATAATAATGACGTAAAAGCTGCTTAAGGTGCATTTTTTTTAAGTCACGTTGGGGGTGGGTGACAGGGGGCCTGAAAGACTTCCTTTTTGAGGCCACGCAGAGAAATGTGGTACTGACTGCTTCGACAGGAAATAACGTTCAGGCAGTAGTTCTTGTCAGCCAACTATGAAGCTGATGGTGATGGTGCAGATGGTCGCTTTGTCAATTGTCTCCGTGCTCCTGCTCTGCTGCTGTCTTACCTCCGCAGGTATAACACTTTAAAACGTATTCTGTCATATTTAGTACCATGTGGTTTTCCATTTCCAAGATTCTTGGAAACGCAATGATTGCTCACCTTTGAATGCTACTTTTACAGAAGTGATCTCACATTGTGATGACAACAAAAATAATTAACTGTGATTTAAATAAAATATTGGCTTTTCAGGGTTTGAGCTTTGCTGTCATCTCCCTGTAGAATAAAATAAATTTATAATCGGGCTGTTTTTAAACGACAAATTCAATCTTGTGTACTTGCCTTCAAAATACAAAGTGACTGTATGTTACATGTTAATCCAGTTAATTTATTGACATGGCCTGTTGAGGTGGGATGTGTGAAAAAAAGAACAGGAAGTGATGCAAACTAGGTTAATGTGCAGTTTGACTAAACGGAACAAAAGAAGGAAAGCATCTACAATTGAGTGATTAAATCACCATATTTGACAAACACGCAAAACTACTCAGGTATAAAACAATTGGTCCATGTCTGAATGTTCTTTCCTTTTTCCAGACTCTCAGGATGGTTGTGACGCTTACGCCCCTGTCGGCGGACGTTTTGCTGTGCCTCTCCACCACAAACTACAAATATCCGAAAATTTGAGATGGAGGCACAACAAGACCAAAATATTTGATCAAAGACCAGACCGGATAGTTACTGGAAAGCGGGACGATGTTTTTCAAAACGGTTCCCTGAAGCTGACAAACCTGGCGAGAAGCAGTGAAGGCACATACGTGCCTGAGGTTTATGATATAAAAGGGAAACTCGTAATCGATCCGAGAAGCCTATATTTGTGTGTGTTGGGTATGTGTCCGCTGCCTGTTGTCTTTCACTTTATTTATGACTGAAATTACAGTTTGCTTCATGAAACCAGCTGGTATCAATAACTACCTTTTTTATTTAAATGTACCAGCCCGCTTCCAATTACCCCTTCATTAGTTTTTTTAATGTTTACAATATATGCATTGATGATTTTATAAAAATATAGTCGCTATGTTTTTGTAAGGGTTATCAATGTTTTTTTAAAGTAACATCCTACAATGATTTTCTGCTGTTAAATAACTTAATTTCCAAGTATTTCATCGCTCTGGAAAGGGTTAAGTCGGATTGGAAACGTAATTATTTTTATGCTACGGTGCCAGTAGCTTTGGAGAATAATTGTTTATCTTTCAAATCTGATCAGATCCTGTCTCGAAGCCAGGCTTGAAAATGGAATGTGCCTTGCCCGATGTGAAATTCACATGCGTGCCTGGTCAGGTAAGAGCGAATACACGAGTTCAGTGTTTTCTTTTTCTTTTTTTCTTCTCCAATGTTGCCAAAAGACAATGACTTTTTTTTTTAAACAATAAGACAACAATTATGAAGATAAACATATCTTCAATTGTCTTTGTTTAGCAATTCAAAGTGAAACAAACGTTTCCCTGTTCTTTTTACAGTTCCTTATTTTCATATAACAATAATATCGATAAATGCATCCATGCTTCCACCTTTTAATTTCTGTCAGACAAGCAAATAGACACACACACACACACACACACATATATATATTTTTTTTTTCCAATTTTAGTATGCGTGTTACATATATATATATATATATATATATATATATATATATATATATATATATACACAGTATTTATCTCCGCTTCTTGCACTTAACTTTTTTAATTGATATTTCATGTGCAAACTTTGAAGCAGAGTAAAATCACGCATTTTCAATGTGTGTAAATTGAGAAGAATCTATGCGATATTCCTTGTATTGAACACAGTTACCCATGTGTATATTCTTGTCATAAATAACATTTAAGTTGGCAGGTTAACTACTGTGTGTATCTTTTTGAACCAGTAGATGCCGGAAGTCACTGTCAAGTGGTTTCAGAATGATAAGCTTTTGCCCCAGGAAAATAAGTGGACTGTGGTGCAAGTTGCCCAAAAGGTGGCAGATGATTCATTCAAATGCAAAGTTTCCAATCATGTCAGTTCCATGAGCAGTGAGGGTGTGATACAAAACTGCACTGGCTCAAGTGAGTATTATGCATGATGATGTTCTTCGTAGTTTGTTTCTGTTGTTGCCGTCACATGTTCCTCTCTCACTGTGGCATCATTACAGGCTCATCTATCTTCCCCAAAGAATTATTTGGTCTTGATTTTAGGATCATGGTGAGCATCCTGGCCGGCATGGGAGGTAAATTTGCTTCACCAATGAAATGTACAACACTTCAAGCATGTCTTATAAGTCCTTCTCAGTTCATATTTGTCCTTATCAGGCCTTGCTCTGTTGCTGGTTATCATCTTAATTGTTTGCTGCATCCGAGCCATGCGAGAAAAACAAAAACAAGTTCAAGGTAAGGCAACACAGAAACAAAGGAATGGGCTATCGATCATAGAAAATAAGAATTATTCACAACTTTTGTTTGTCCAATTCCAACAGAGGAGGAGGAGCTTCGTTTGGGGTGGACCAACCCCGAAGGACACCATCAGCAATGTCATCATCACCCACCTAATCTGCATCATCATTCGCATGGTCAACCTGGACGTCGGCAGCGCGGCGGGCCACAGCCTCCAAGAGGCCAAGCTCAGGGCAGCCCCAGAAGACCAACACAGGTCTGAGGAAAGATTAGTGGCACAAGATGGAAAGAGGGGCTTCTCAAACTGTAGTCTTCAAAAGTTTCACAACCCCTGGGCTCCTCAGGCTTAAACAACTACAAATTGTCCACTGGCTGTCACTTGTTTCTTACTTCCTTTCTAGGGCTTGAGATCTACGAACACACAGCAGCAGGCTCCTCCTCTTCCTCAGCCGAGGAAGATGGTTCCAGCACAAATAATCTGACGGCATGTGAGAAACCCTCCCTGCAGACACCATTAACATCATCATCGCACACTATTTAGTTTCACTTACTTAACCGAAGTACATATAAAAGGTCTACACGCCCCTGTTGAAGTGCCAGGTTCTTGTGATGCAAACATCATCAAACCTATAAAATAATTCTTCCACCACTAATGACCTATTACCTGTCTAACTCAATTGATTTAAAAAATATATATATTCAAGTGGGCAAGCAAAATTAAACAATTGAGATAATATGGTTGCATGAAAATTCCTGATATTTGAAAATGGGGGTGCAGACTGTTTTATATTAAATATTGGCAAACTGTTCTTTAAATGTTGGCATCACTTCTCAGTTACTGTTAAAAATTGGTAACCCACATCATTGTTACAAATGTATTGAAACAAATGTTCTTTATTGCTTGGGAAAATGAAAGTAAGATAAGAAGAGAAGAAAAACAAAATAAGATGCTATCTTAGCAGTCATTTAGAAAATTAGTAATAAGAAATAACACAATAACAAACTCCCATTTGTGTTGTCAGTTTTGGGGGAAAAAAATTTGCAATCGTTTCAGCAATACAATAAACATTTAACAAATTCTAATGTCTAGTTAGTTTTCATTCAACCTGTACATTTTTTACATCAAATGACAGTACTTTAAATCTAAGTTCAAATGTTACTATTTTATTGTGTGCAACAATTCGTATCAATAAAAGTTTTTGTACTGTTGTTTTTATTATTTTTATTTACGTAAAAATCAATTTGAAACATTATTTTAATACTTTAGCATTTGTCATGTTGACAATTTTATTTGATATCAATTGGACTCATTAAATACGCTAATACTGTGAGAATGTCGAAATGTATCAGCAGACAACTTTTTTTGAAATAAACATGGTAAATGGGTTAGGGTGGCTTGTGAGTTTTGTAAGCCTCTGCAACATTCTCAGCTCAACACAAAGCAGACGCGTCACATTTTCTGCACAGATGTGTTTGTGGTTTTCAGCGCGTTGACAACGCTTCTGCATCGTGGAAATTTGTTCACGGATGACTGCAGACTGTTTGCTTTGGTTGCACCGCAAATTATATTGATATTATACTTTGTAGGGCGGCACGGTTAGCACGACTGGTTAGCACGTCTGCCTCACAGTGCAGAGGTCCCGTGTTTGATTCCGGGCTCCGGATTTAATGTGGAGTTCGCATGTTCATCCTGTGACTGCGTTGGTTTTCTCCCACATTCCAAAAACTTTGCCGCTCTCCTGCCTGTTTTCCATCTGTCCCTGCTGCAACACACCTGTTTCAAATGATAAGGATCGCTCTCATGCTTCTTCAGAGCTTGCTGATGAACTGATCAATTGAATCAGGTGTGTTTCAGGAGGGAGCGATGGAAAACAGGCAGGACAACGGACCGGAGCTGGACATGCCTGCTCCAAATTGTCCCTCAGCCTGATTGGGAGCACGAATGGTTGTTTGTCTCTGTGTGCCCTGTGATTTGCCTGGCAACCAGTTCAGGGTGTCCTCTGGCTACTGCCCAAAGACAGCTGGGATAGGCCCCTGATTTTTAGAGCTGTGGTCACGAAAAGTAATGATGTTTATGCATCACTTTTGTATGCATTTCTTTTTTACACTTGCTGCTAAATTATTCACAGGGTCGCATTTAATTGATGTGAGCACAAGAATGGATGGTTGGCTAAAGTACAAGTTAAAAAAACAAACAAACATTTCAATGATGTCCACAAGATGGTAGTGTTGTGTTAATTTCATATATTCAATTGTATTTTTATGGCACTTTTTCATGACTAAAGGTCACTCGAGTCTTTCAAGTGAGGAAAAGACATGAAGTGGACAGTGTGCTTTCATACCCCCCCCCCACACACACACACACACACACACACAAACACGCACACCAAACACTTGGCGTTGCACTCTTCACATCCTCAAATGTATCAGCTAACGTTGACCTTTGAGACTGACGTTTCCAAAGCTGCACAACTCTTGCCTCGGTACTTCCAGGGTTACTCAATGTTTGCTAAGTGTGTGTGGCATGGTGGAACATGTCCCTTGTCAACTGGGTTGAAAACAGTAAGAGGTTTAGTTGAATGAAAATAAATACATTGCAATGGATAAACAACATACTGTTATGTGTTGGGCATATAAGTGACATTTCCAATCCCAAGACTGCAAAATAAACACTTGCTCCATTACATTTTCCTTTCGTCCATTTTCCATTGCTTGTCATCATTGGGGTTGTGTTTTATGGTGCTTACTTTTTTTTCCAGTTATTAATTTATTGTTTTAAATTACTTTGTTGTATGACTTTTACTCCATGGATAGCACTTTGTACGCAGTGGTGGTTGTTTTAAACTTAAAGTAAACTTATATTTATATCTATCTATCTCTATCTATAGATAGCTGGAGCCATATTTGTACAATGTGAGTGATCATGATGTTGTTGTGTTGATGTTGGTAAAATAAGTATATGATGGCAATAGGATACCAGATTAAACGATACAAAGAACAGCAGTTGTGAGTTAGCCGATTCACGCATCCGCCATAAGCTAGCTAAATACAGTAAGTGGGTTTGTCTGATATGTAGTTTGTTCACCAATTCTCTCTGATTTGTGAGTAAATAAAGCAAGCATGAAAGGTTGATGCATGCCACATTGAGGAAAAGATGGTGGTCCCTATTCGTGAATAGATGCAATGTTTTAAACATACCTTTTGGAATACGTACTTTGTTAGAATAACAACTTTGCTGTAGCCTTGTTAAAACTGCTGGGAAAATATCAGGATATCAGCAGGCTCATGTCTATCTATGATAAACCGGTCCTAAGGAAGGCAAATGCTAGTTTGTATACAGTACCGGTAGTCCAAATTATCCACTTCAAATTGAGTTTCAGCTTCTGCTCTCCGGCCGTCGGTTTCGGGCTCTGAGGAGGACAAAATGGCTGAAGTTTCATTTATTCCAAGTGCAATGTATCCACTTAATGGCAATGAGATCTTAGGTTGCACATGTTTTTAATTACTATTGTGTACTGTATTTGCACAGCTGCTTATTGCACTTTTATTTTATTTTTATTTTTTGCAGTAATATATATATATATATATATAATAATTGTCTATTTATGGTATTAGCTCTGGACTGAACATGTGCTGTATGCCTTTTTAAAATATTATGCCTCATGTTATTTTGTCATTGCCTATTCTGTCTTTGTTTATGTGCTCCTGCTGCAACATGAATTTCTCTCTTGGGACAATAAAGATATTCGAATTCTGATTCGTAGATTTAAGTAAACAGCATGCACAGCAAAAATATAACAAAGTTTTGACATTGTAGGTTTAATTTGCCTCTATTTGAGAAAACTATGTTATTACTTATTTCATTCATATTGTTTCCTTTACTGTATTTTATGTTGGATGTTATATACTGCGCTTTGTTATTGCTGCAGTTGTTAATTGCTCTCTAAATAAAGCTGAGTTGAGGTGAATAGTCTAGTTGGCCACATTACAGAAAGCAGTGTGGCCAATATGTGGCCCTCGGGCCTTATGTTGAACCATGAGTTAGGTGAGTGATGACGTAGGGTTAAAAAAGCCGTTGAAAAGTTCAAGTCTGCAATGTTTGCTCATTCTGGAATAAAAGCACAGAGAGATTTTGAACTGTGCCAGTGAAGAAAATCACTTGGAGACCGTGCTGCGCCGGCAGAATGTGTCACATAAAAACTAATTAAACTAATACGTCATGCAGCATAAAACCAGCGTGAGTTCTCCTTTTCCCTCTCTCTCTCTCTCTCTCTCTCTCTCTCTCTCTCTCTCTCTCTCTCTCTCTCTCTCTCTCTCTCTCTCTCACCCCCTACTTCCCTACTTCTCCTTCAACCCACCTAACTTCCGGCCACGCTCTCCCGTCTTGTACCTGCCTTCGTGTGACTCACATCCCGTATCCAGATTGCAATCTGTCCCGTGTTCCAACCACGTACAGGCCCATGTAGGTCCCAAAGGTGTGCGGATTTATCGATTTATCGGCTAGGTTGGAATCGTGGTGGGCATCCCATTTGTGCTGTGGCTCCGCCCGGCGAGCGGTGCTGAAAGTGCCTGGCAGAGTTTCTTCAAGGGTCCGACCGACACCCGCGGCAGCACGGAGACAATTTTACCCCCCACGCCGGACAAAGAAAGAAGTGGGGTGGGGGGATAAAGGATATATTGGAGTAATGGAGAGAAAAACGATGAAGAACTACGTCCTGGCGCTTCTCTGGGCTACGTTTATGTTCGGTAAGACGTCTCCTTACTTGACGGTTGAGAGCAAACTAACTCGAGATACGCGTCGCGCGTGATGCCAATTCGAGTTCACGAATGTCCATTTTTAAAATGCACTTCCTATTTGCTACGAGAGAAATTCATTTTAAATATTTACGTAGCAAGTATTTAAGACGATACCACACGCTAATGGTTTCGGTTATACCTACTTCACCCAAGGATCTCAAATTCCATTACAGCAGCCACTTTTCCCCCAATCTGTTAAAACTATAGCTATTTGCTGTTGTGTTTTTTTGCGACGGTCCACGCTTAAAAGTTGGTATTCAGTAGAGGCAAGTGAGTCTACATTTTACATTAGATTAAAGAACATGAGCAATAAAATTGGATTATACAGTAGTTGTCAGGTTCCTCGCTATGTTAAGCAGTCCGACAGGCTGTTAAATGCAGTGTTGTATATTAAGCTCTGGTTGCCTTGACAGCAGGTGGTTTGTTTGTAAATAGAAAGAAATAGTTCACTTGTTTGATTGTTTAATTTATTTATTTTTTTGTCATCAGCACAACAATACGCTGTACCAGTGCTTTCATGCTCATTTATAGAGCACTTTTAAAACAACCACCGCTGCATAAAAAGTGCTGCTCATAAATTAAAATATGACACATGAATACATTCAGAGCACAAAAACAATATTCAAGAAAACACTAAAACAATGAGTTGAAAGCCAAAGAATAGAAATGTTTTTTAAAACGAGTGATGGTCAGAGGTCATTCCAAAAAAAGCGACTGGCAACAGAAAAAGCTCAGTCCAGCTTCAAGTCAAGTCAAGTTAAGTACAACTTTGTTGTCAAATGTGCTGTGTGTGCAACATACTTCTAATGTAAGTTCAGTAAAAGTGCATAACTAAAATGTTGACCCCTAAAAAGAAATGGGCACCATGACAGCTCTGAGTAGATTAATTTTCATTTATTATAAATTATTAAGAGTTTCACTTGAGTTTACTTGCCAGTTTTAGTTCTCTGGCTCCCCTTTACCACTAATTGGGACTAGTTTTCATTATGAAGCAGCATGTTTCTACCATGTCGTTGTCACTTTTGCCCTCAATTTGGACTAAAGGGCCATGTGACCACTTAGTCATTACAGATTTCCACCACAGGGCCAAACACGATTCTGATACTGACATTACCATATGTTTAGTCATCAGAGCTGTGTGTGTGTTAGGAGTTGGCTGAATTCAGTGTTGGGTCAGATGCTCAAATGTTGCAAGCACTACTGTGGTGCATGTAGTGTGTTCTCCAAAAAAGAAATCAGCACTTGATAGCTCATATTTACTTCTTTCCATTCTCACTATTCCTGCAGAGAAGAATTACACGAAACAGGTGGAAAAGAACGATGACTATCTTGTGGCTCCATGAGTGGCATTTCAAATATTTGAGTCGAACAAACGCTCGAACGTACAATCAAAGATAGCAAGTGGATGCATG